TGAGTTTTAGTGAAAAGGACAGAATCTTTTGAGTACAGTAGCTGAAGCTTATGGAATACCCAATAAGAAGAGACTTCCGCTAAGACAATGAGAGTATGCAATGTTCTGCTATAAGTTTTAATAAAATGTATGTATTGTGTATTACATGTATGTTTTAGTAGCTGTATGTTATAGTGTGTTATGACTTCAAAGTTAGAAAGGGTTAAGGTCTTAGAGATATTTGTTTAGCTTGTTTAAGGAAACATTAGTGGCTTTTCAAGTTTAACTTGGGGAAAAAAGTAAAAGTATTATTTGAGGACTGACGGATTATATGCACTTTACACGGGCAAAAGGTAATATAAAAATAAAGAGTGTTTTACCTACTGAAAATTTATTTCTGTGGGCCAAAATGCAAGACGAGTAAGTGCCACAGAGACTTTGAAACTCTGCTTGACAAGGGTTGAAATAACAGCAATCTTAGTTTTATGAATCCAGAAGAAATATTTTGGTTGGGACCATTAATTAATTAAAAAAAAAAACTTCCTGGGTATGTATGGCAGTATGTCAACTGAGTTCTTACAAATGGAGCAAAGCATTTGATAATGGCCTTTCAGTGTGTTCTAGGAAAAGATCACATTTCTCAAGATTTTGCCTTGCATGGCTGAACTTTCAAGATGCCTTCTCTCATGTTGTTGTTATTGTTATATTAGCATTGTTCACCTCTATAGGTCTTGAGAAATGCAAAGTGAGTTGTAGTATTTTTAGACATAGACGGTGTAGTTGAATTCATTGCCATTTTGCTGTAATGAAGGACTAGCGTGGCCAGCCATGCTAACATCCTCTACAGGCTGTGGCACAGTTCTTGGCATTTCTGTAATTTTAGCTGCCAAGCTCAAAATACAGGAGTAAACACAAAACCTATTGATTTTAGCTTGGTTTTCTCTGTCTTTTAAGGAAATGTATGCTACTTATTATCTGCACTTTAAGGGAAGATGAAGCCTTGTTTGCTGGTAACAGTGAAGAGTTAACTTTAGAGAGGTTTTTAAAGGCTATAGGCTATTTTTTTGTATACTTACTAGTTCAATACTCAGAAGATCTTCTAACTGAAGACTAAGGAGTAGATCCTTTGCTGATGAAACCTGTTAATGCTTTACTTTTGACTTTACTGACTCTCGAACCTATTTGCTGACTTTGCACAATAGGAAGATTTGGTGTTGTTTTTCAGGGGTTACGCTTGATCGTACTAAATCTCAGACCTCTCAGGAGTTGGGGAGTAAGTTAGGGTTGGGGAGGAAGAACAAGGAAGGCAGTTAGGGAAGTAAAAGCATGTGTGTGCATGAATTTTTGTGCCATTTGTTGCTTGACAAGTGTAGTTTGCCCTTGACTGTTATGCAGGAAAAGTGGTTCAAATGGACATTTGTAGTAATGTGTGTTGAGAGAGAGGAACTGGAAAAAAGTTGTTTGCTTGGTGACTCTTATAATTTAGAAAATTGAAGAGGTAAGTGGGTATAAGAGAATGACATAAAAGTCACCAGCAGAAAAAAAGGCATTTACAGCAAATCCCATTAAATTAATTGCAGGGGTTACTTTAGCTCAGGATGCCTTGAATTCTTGAAGGATTTTACCTTTTACCAGGGGAGCTTGCAACTTTACACTATGAATGAGCTTTAAGAACTTTCAGTGTTTGTTTTTGCTGAATTGAAATAAAGAAAGAAAAAGAAAATTTGTGCAGGTTGAAATAAAACCACAGATTTTCTTAAGATAATGTTCGTGAGAACCATACCTTATTTAAAAAATGAGTTTCAGTGTAAATGAAGCCTGCTAAGCTTATGAGGCAAATTTTGCTGTAGTCAAACCCACTTTGGCAAATGCTTAAGCACCTTTTATCTTCACGTAGTATTTTTCATCAAGGGATTCTTATGTACTTTGGCTATCTTGAGCTTGAAAGGACAAGGCCCATGCTGAACTCTAAAACTCTAATGCTTTTATTGTGCTTCAGAAAGCCTGCTTTTCTGTTTTTAGCTGCACCTGAAACTTGATTCGGTATTGATCAGGAGATACATCCCTGCTACCATTCTTTAGTGTTTGTGCCTGCAGTTGCTGCTGCTGTCCGTTAGCTCTGGACCGGCATATCAGAAGAGGAGGTTTATGCTGCAGGTAGAAGTGTAGTTTATACAGATAAACCTAGCTAATTTTAAGCTGGTAGCTTGAGTATAGAAAGTAGCATTGTTTCAGCAGCAGCTCAGGTGCTGCAAAACGCATCCAGGAATCTGGATAAGTTTTGGAAGTCTAACCTGTCCTAAATGCAGAGCCGTCATAGCTGTGCTGCTATCAGTGTCCAAACTAGGTTGTTTAAAGCAAGCTCAGATTTGCCAACCTCCTCCTGCTGTGTAATAATAGGCAAACCTAGATGTTCTGCACAGACAGCTTCTAGTGGGCTTCTAAAGAAGCTCTGTTTGTTTGTTGAGAGGTCTGTACTTGTTTGGCTGCTCGTTTTTTGATCAGATAAAAGAGTGCAAACATGTCTTAATACCTCCATATAAGGGGAAGGCGTCTAGTCGATCCTTTTTTGTTTTGGGACAACAACTATTTTTATTAAGTACTTTGTCAGTTGTAGTTGAAATAATTGAAGCAATGACTGCAAGATCTGTTGGTTCTTGAAAACGGACCCCAGCTTGTATTTTCAAGATAAAAGTCCCTGTTAAACCTGCCCCCTTACCACAGACATACTTCACATGTGTGGGATGTAGCTGACAAATGTAAATTGAAATTTTTATTTCTTTTCATTTATTTGAAAAGAATAATGAGGGTAGCCTCAATGGAATTAAACCTATGGACATGGCAACAGCTACTTTCTTTTTAAACCCAGACAATTCACTATGGCATATGCGTGTGTGTGTGTGTGTGTGTGTACACATATACATATACATATAAATACACCCAGCTTATTTATTTGTGTGCTCGATAGGTACTGGCTTTTCTGCAGGTATTAGTGTCACGAGACCTGTCTACCTCAGAAGTTACAGGCTCGATCTCACAAATTAGATTTCAATCTCCTTGTCAAACACCTTGACAGCACTTGGTTTCACACAGCCTGGAAAATCTGCATCTTCCATTGGCTCAGTTAAAATTGTAGGTGTTGAGAACATTTGAACATTAGCATATCACAGAGGCATGAAAGTTGAGGCAAGCTATGGAGTAGTTCACATAGAAATTTGGTGCACAAGAGGAGTTATGATTTCCAGTAGAGAATCTTTAATAAAAGATTTTCCTAGCATGTACTCTCAGGTGAAAGAGGTGATTCCTTAAAAAGTAGTTTATTATGTTGCATAGTGTGGTAAAGGTTTCATATCCACAGAACTTGTATGCATTTTTGTCATTAGAAGGCCTAATTTTCTAAGACGCTTGTTTGTTGTATCTTTCACAAGGAGTAAAAATGATTGTTTCAGAAAGGTAGAAGTGATTTTATTTTTATAAAAACTACTGCTTTAGATAACAGTGATAAGAAATGAGGGCAGTAGGATTTTGATATGTTTGGAGTTCGTGTTCAATCTCTTAATTTCCATTAAGTAGTAGTAAACATTTCAAAATGTCACCATCCAGTGCAGTCACCTAGGAATGTTTTTTTTAAACGTTGTTATTCTGCTTATGTAAATGACTACCTGTGCAATAACTGTGCAGAGTGATTTCTGCATTATTTCCTCTGCCTTTTAGTGTTGGTTTGTGTTTTCTTTGCCTTGGCAGAATAGAAGGTGATATCTTGAAAAGTGAATCTTTGGTTCCGCGCAGAGCACTGTAGTGATAATTTTATCTGAGGAGTCTTGTTGAATTTAATGGATTATTTGCAAAGTGAAGTGTTGTTTATAATAAAATATGATGCAAAATAATACATTTTCAGGATAGATATTTAAGTAATAAACTGTATAATAAATGTGATGTATTTGGAGGGAAAATTCAACTGCTTTTGTAGTAATCGGGAAAATTCACTGATTTTAGTCCTATACTGTTCCTGTTAGTACTGGGAAAATGTATTTTTAATCAACAAAGTTAACAAAGAAATTCATAGAAAACTGGAGCAGTGGATGCTAATTGGCCCAAGCATCTATTTGCCAATAGTATAGTAATCAAGTATAATGTGATGCTCAAAGTAAGGGACTATGCTCATATTTCAGAGAAAGCAGAATGTTGAGCTTATTTGAGGCACCTAAACCTCCTTCAGGAAAACTCATTCAAAAGATTTGTCTCAGCACCTTTTTTCTTATTGTAAAGATTAGCTTACAAATGATGCATTTTTACTATCAACATATGTCAAACTCTGCTTCCTGAACAAACAGAAAGGCTATTAAACAAATAGGTCTGTCGACACTGTTAGCTATGTTTTGAACTTTACCAAGCACATTTGAAAGAAATTAGTTGTTTTTCCATTTCTGGTTGCACTACAGATGCGATGAGAAGCCAGACTTTGCTACACAGAATTCTTAGTCACTTTGAGAAGCATTTTATTGCACGGATAGCCATTCAGATGAAGAGGGCTGCTTGTTATGAAAAGTAAAAACTGACAGGAGAAAGAGTACAACTTTTAAAATGATGCTTGAAGTTAGTTGTAGGGTTTTATTTTGGCAAACTAACTGTGAGTGTGTTTGAACTCTATATCTGGGTATGATTCATTGGTTTGAAATATTATCAAGTTGGAGCATACACACATTTGATTATTTTATATTAATACTACTTTCAGTTTAGAAGAGTCTGTACCTACAGATTTGTTAACAGCAACAGCTGGAAAATAAAATTTTAAATATTCTAAGGTATAGAGAAAACTCTTCCAAGTATTTGTGAATTTAGCTGAGTGGGGATTTGCATGTCCAAGTCTTCTAGCCTCTTTTTCTTTTTTCTTTTTCTTTTTCTTTTTTTTTTTTTTTGTCCCAACCATAAATTTCGGGATTTTCAGTGCTTTGCTATGAGCTATTTAAAGTTATCAGTGTTGAGACTTGCTAGTTAGGCATTTTCTCTGTCATCCCCAGGAAAGATGTCCAGAGACCGGGCTCTGAGGAAACAGCAGCAATTGAATAATTTGGTAGCGGTGGTGAAAAAGCTTGCCAAGCCTGGAGATGTGATTGTGGATTTTTGCAGTGGAGGGGTAATGTATATTTTCTTTATAAGATGCAATTTCTTTTAGCTTTCATTTTTGCAGTTCCTGAAGGATGCAGCCACAAAGCAAAAGCACAAGCTTTGAAATTTTAGCTGCTTTCAGAGGTTCTGTCACTGGTTATGGGATGCTCAGCCTGAAATGGGTCAAAAGCAAGTTCACTGAAAAGTAACTTATAGATTGTTTTTTGTTGTTTATTTTTGTTTTCACAGGGCCATGTTGGAATTGTTCTTGCTCACATGATGCCATCATGTCAGGTAAATTCTAAGAAAGAAGTACAGACAATATAAGCTTTTGGTCTCTGATAATCATCTTGAAAAGGCATGCATCCAGGACGAGTAAACATGAAGACAGAACTGCTAATTTTAAGTTTTATGATCTAGTGAGAAATATGAGCATATGTAAAGGTATTTATCACGTTGCATTAGTGAGGAAAAGAGGAGATGCCATCCCTGAGAATTTAGGAAAAAGTGCCTCTTAAAAAAAGAAGATTCCTTTAGAGTACAACTGTTTAATTGGATATACTTTGATTCACCAAAAATATCTAATTAGAGTGTTAGAGTGCATGGGTGAGCTTACCCCTCTCTAACAAAGCTCTTAAGCTTCTATTGTAAAGTTAGCGTGAAGATGAAGCACTTGTATTGAGGGCAATGTCTGGCAGTGTCTCTGCTCCCATTTTCTCATAATCTTAATGGTTTTGAGAGCTTGATAGCAACAGAAGTCCCCATGTACGTCCACCAGTTCCAGCTAGTATATGCTCTCTGCCCTTTTGAAAGAAACTGTCTTGTACTTAAGTCTCAGACCAAGTGGCTGGCTATTCAGTTGCAGCTGCTTGCAGAGTAAACTCTAGCGTTCAGTTAACAAACACGGTTGAAAACTGTAGTGTTGCTGATCAGACCCAGACTTCCTTGCGGTGTCTTCATATAGCCTGAACAATACAATGAATCAGAGAACCATTCAGGCTGGAAGTGACCTCAGGAAGTCATCCAGTCCAAAATCCCGCTTGAAGCACGCCCAACACTGAATTTGGACCAGGCTTTGTCCAATTGGGTCTTGAAAATTTCCAAGAATGGATCTGCCGCAACATGAATGGACAACCTGGTCCCATGACTGACTGTCCACGTGGTGAAAATTTCTTTTGTTACATCAAATCAGAACCTTCCATTTCAATTATGTCCATTGTATCTTGTTCTCCCACCATGCACCTTTGTAAAGAGCCTGGCTCCATCTTCTTGAAAACCTTCTTGTTGGTACTGGCCGGCTGCCTATTAGGTCCCTCCCCAAAGCTCTCTCTTCAACAAGCACAGTTTCCTTAGTTGCTGCTCACAGAACAAGCGCTCCAAGCCCTTGACCATCTTGGTGGCTCTCCACTGAGCTCAGTCATGTTCTTGTATTAGGATCCAAAATGTGATACAGTATTTCAGATATGGCCTAGTGAACCCCAGATAAAGGAGAATAAGGAAATAACATGATGCCATGTTTGGTATTAGAAATTCCTAAGGAGTTATGTCTGATGCTCAGCGTGCCCAGTTAAGGAATAATGCACAGACTGATGTAAAATTTTTCTAGAAGAAAGGTATCATATGCCAGAAGAATTTACTAGTAACTTCTAGCTTTGTAATGCTGTGTCATAGAGATGAAGATAAAATTAAGAGAGTCTATAAAGAGAATGATTTCTAGTAATTATTGAAAAGCTTGGTATCTTTCTTCACCCCCCCCCAATATTAGTAGAAAAATGAGTTTTTTTTTTCCTAAATTTGTTTTATATAGTTCTCTGTTTTTAACATAATATATCACAGTTGTTCTGAAATCAGAATGTTGAACAGTGTGATGGACATTATTTGCTTTTTTCTTTCTGTTCATAATTATGTTACATTGTTTTGAGAACTGGCTGGATGAGATGGGACCCCATGAAAGGAGTGGGAGACTGCACCTTTCCTAGGCATGCTCCTGGACGTGCTTGGTAGAGGAAGGTCCAGAGCACTTACAGAGCAAAGCTGGGAACCAGTAAAAATAATAAGACCTTGCAGGGAGGAGCAGGTAGCCAAGCCTCAGAGAGGATAGGAAGAGTTCCCCAGGGACTACTGGGTCTCACTTAGAGTTACTGAGCTGGCTAGAAGCAAGCATCCTCACAAAAGGACAGGTGGACAGCGACTTTTCCCCATATACGCTATTTACTTCTGCTCTCCATTATCCAGTAACTTGGACATTCCTTTGTTTAGAAAGCTATGTTTCAAGGGCATTTTTATCCTTCAGATATACCCTTTTGAGTTTAAAGCTTTTGGTTGTTATTGGGGAGCAATTCAAAATTGTCTGGAAACAGCTACCTCAAAACTCTGACCAACTTGAGGTCCAGTCACAAATGTTTTTTTATAGAATGATCATTATTAGCTCTGCCTTAATTCTAGTCACTGATTTGGAGGAAAATGTTTCTTCATTCTAATAACAAACTTGATGCAGAAGTCATGAAAGTAGCAATAAAGTTGAATCACCCAGTCTTCAATCAAACCTACAGAAGCAAGCACCTGGCAGCAGAGGAGATTTAAATTTAAAACTTCTGCAAATTTTTTAGCTTAATCCCAAATTTGGGAAGGTGCTTCCCGAAGAAAATTAAAGCTGTGCCTATAGGAAAACATAAAATATTTACTGGCTGGTTGGTATTGGTGCGTCTTAAATGCCTTCGCCCTCTATTGGGTTCCCTGCTAGATCACTTTAGAGAAGATCTCAAGTTCTCAATTTGGAGAAGTTTTCTCAACTCAACTACAAAGTTATATGCCCATTAGTAATGTACTTTGATTTGTCAGTATACTTTTGCCTTACTTTCCTGCGTATGAAATTTAGGTGGTGCTCATAGAAAATAAGGAATTGTCACTGATCCGTGCTAAAGAGAGAAGTGATGAACTGGGTTTAAACAACGTTTGGTTCATTCAAGCAAATTTGGACTATTTTAATGGAACTTTTAATATTGGGGTAAGTGAGAGTTCTTTTTTTCATTTCATTTTGGTTATTTCTTAAAATAACTAAAATATTTGAGAAAATAAAACTATATTAATATCTTACAGACAAATATTTCTGATACTATACAGAGCACTCTTGTTATATTAACCAGTCCTGAATTAGTTTTCTTTTTATTATTTGTTGCAAATTGGCATCACTTTTGTCATTATATGAAGAATGCAGAAAGAAGTTTCTGCTCCAGTCATACACAAAATAGATGAATGTTTTCTACCATGCTGAAGAAAAATAGTGTAGTAGATTCTTGGTTTAGTCATACTAATTTAAAAATAGTGATGTATTAACAGATGTACACTAGAGAAGGTGTTGAAGAAGGGAAGAAAAGACTACCGTCACTTGGAATTACTCAAAATGAGTCCAAGTCAGAGTTAGCCAAAGTAAGTACAGTAAAGTGGGATCAGAGATGCATTTTAGGTAACAGTAAGCGCATTTTAAAGCAAAGCAAACAAGACTACATTACGCAAAACTGAGAGCAAACTGTCATGAGAGAGAGACTATTATATTAATGATATAAGTATATTCATTGTGAAAGGTATCCTCAAGCGAGATTTATAAAGGCAGACTGATACCTCAGTTTTGTAGGACTCATGTTGAGCACTCCTGTTGCAGTCAACAGGTGTTACCCTGACTCTCAATTTTAGGTATCTTGTCATTACCGTAAATGAGCAGACTGCAGTAGGGACCTGAGTTCTGCAGGAGCGAAGTAGGTGAATTGAATGCTGATTCAGTGTCTGTGTTACTGAAAGTAAATAATGTGAATGTCCGTCTCTGCAGAATTTTGTAGCGCTAGTGCAGCGTAAGGCATAAACAGTCTCTTGTAACTCCATAAAGATTCCCGTCTTCCAATTTGATCTTCTGTTAATAGAATATGAGCTTTTAAAGCATGTCTCTAGTTTTTAGTGATCTGACTGTTCATAAATCATCCATCCAAGGACCTGTTATGGCTTTAGCTTAGTCTGCTGAAGGCTGAAGGTTTGTGGCACAGATGGGCATACATTCTCTAGTGCTATTTAACTGCTTGGTTTGGTTATTTAAAAAAGGAAATGAAATACAGTGCAGGACAAAGAGGAGAGAATAAATTATATTAGCCCAGTTCTTCCAAGTGTAAATTTCCAGTTCTCTAGCTTTATTCTGTGCTGCATTGTCACATAAATCTCACAGTGGAGGAACTCTAACTCTGTTTCAGAAAATCATGATCTCATGAATAATTTACTAAATTCTTTGTGCAAAGTGTGTAACTATAGTTTGTCGGTGGAAACAGTTTCCAGTTTTGTGCTCATTTTTTTTCTTCTTTTTTTGGGTCTCTTTTTAAAGTTAATACTAAGTTAAGTATTTCCTTGGAGTTTTTATTAAATGAGAAAATGTTATGCTCTCCCTTAAGTGTTATGGCAAGAAATATATTAAGTGTGCGTCAGAAAAATTCAGTTGAAAATTCTTCAGATCCTGGTCTGTTTTTTAAGTTGCTTTGACTTGATTCTGTGACCTATTTAATAGACAAAGCTGGAACTTTCCCTTTTCAGAAGTGATATATTAATCTCAGCTTCAGAATTAGTTGCATCACATGCTGATTCACTCTTTCAGAAGGAACTCCCTATGCGAACTTTCCCCAAATAAGACTGGAGCCGACTGTTTTACTTGCCAATAGCGGAAGTGTTTGGTAAATAATTTGAAGTTCAGCTTCATTTGTATCGTTATTTCATAATCACGGGTCTTGGAATGCTGACATAATTATTGTAATTTGCGAGAAAAATGATAAAAGAAAAAATGGGAAGTGTATTGCAGTAACAAAGTAGCATAATTGTATAATATTGATGGTCTGTAGAAATAACTGAGACAGTTTAATTTCAGTTTCTGTAAGATATATACAGATCAAGCTGGGTAGAAAGTTTTATAATCCCAATTGTGCTACATGATAAATGAAGAATTTTACAGATTATTTTACCAGTTTTTAAAGAATGTTACTCATAGAAGGGAAAATGGCAATATCATAATACATAAAATACAGGTATCTACGAAGTTTGGCAATTCATGATTTATAGACCCATCTTCTGAAGTTTATAAATCTCTTCACTCATTGCATAACTTCACCATTGTCAATAAAATAATACAGCGTAGTTGTGAGGGTGGACATGGTAGTAAGACATTCACTGGTTATAGACTTCCCAAGTGAATATTAAATCATAGATATTTTCTGATATTTTCATTCTGAAATGAATTGTCATGTGTCCTCTTGTTGCTATATATAAAGTGCTTGAAATATAAAGAAGTGTAGAAAAATGAATCTTGAGCTCTCTCGTTTTGATATTAGTTTAAAATGTGTTTAAATGCATTTTTAGTTACCTTGGCATAAAATGATACTACATTATTTAGCTATTTTCTTACCTCTTATCTGCCATGAGTTCACAAGTAAGTTAAGAAAAAATCTGCCAACCAGCTAATTCCCTTTTGCTCCGCATAAAATTACTGCCTTTCTAAATCGTAATGAGGATCAAGGTTTGGAAGCAGTTTATTTGAATGACAAACCTGTGAAAGTGAAAACTTCCAAACATTTGCATGCAGTGTTTGTTTCCAGGCCAACCCCCAGCAGTCTTAATTTCTTTGTTGTTTTTAATATTTATTATTTTATAATACTCATCGTGTCTCAGCTAATTTGTGGGAATAAGCTGAAACAGGTTGAAAAGTTCAGGATATTTTTTTCTGTTTGGTGTGTTGACTTCTTTTCCTTTTTATGACGATGAGGTTTCTAGAAACATTCTTCTTTTCCTCTCACTCTTCTGGAGTTTCAGCTCCAGAGATATAGTACAGGGCAATGGACTCGCACTGCATTGGCTCTTTTGCTGTCTGCAGGAGAAGAGTCTTGGCCACTTTGTTTTTCTGTGTCTGCAGATAAAAGGATTTGTGAACTAAACATGCTAGCTGCCTTTGTTCTCATTTTTTATTTAGTTTAGATAAGTTTAATATGTAGGGCATCCTGAGAAATTTTTATATTGAATCTTTTGACTTTTCACTTAACTTAAATTGATTCGGAGGAACCCAAATAAGAAATCAATTGGTCTGAAATTTGTACAGGCTCAACAAAATTACTGTTTTTTTTTTTTTTTTAAATCCAGCAGTGGTTTAATGTCTGCTTTTCAAACATGCAAACAAAGCAGAAGTCTTTGGCTTCTGCTTGGGGAAATGGGCATGTAGCTACAATAGCTACAACAGCTGTGATATTAGAAACCTCTTTCTGATGTTAAACTAGCTCTGTTTTTTTGTTATTAAATTCATATCAACAGAAAGCTTTCATTGTGAAATTATTACATTTCCTTATTAATTTTGTAATGTTCTGTTTGAGAGGACAGTATTTGTTACCATCCGTGTGCAGTAATAGTTCAGCTGATGATTAACGGTATACTCAGCTGAGCCTTCATGTAGCAGTTTGCAAACAAAACCTGTCTTTGTTTTAATCGACATCTGAGAGCAAAGTATTTACTTCCAATTGTTGTACTTGAAAATCAACTTTGAACCTTGAAATGTGAGCTTTGCAGTTTTAAACCTTACTTAGTAGGTTTTAAACCTACTTCTAAATTTATTGTGAATAAAACACAGAAAAAATGGAGCTTTACAAATGTGCACAGTGCATAAAGTAGCAGGCACAATATTTAATTAAGGGTAGGCAGACTTGTATTTTCTGCAGGGCTGAGAGCGAGTGCAGAAGCAGATCTAGTGAGGCCTGACTTTTCTTGATTTATTTGTTGGATGTTTGGGATTCTCTCCTGTCTAGTAAGGTACAAATGGGAATGGGAGTTTTTTACTGTCTTTAAAAGTTAAGAACTTACTGTTGTTAACCCTCTCTGTCAAAAAACAACAATTTTTTCCCTGGGACTTGAAAACCATTTAGAGAGTCACTTGTCAGATGCAAGCATTTAAAAGTGTGCTGGGTATTTCTCTCCTATGTGTGAATGGCTTTTGTCAGTGATACCAGTCTTTGATGCAGTGATCTTTTTTCGAGGTATAAAAGCATTTATGTTTGTTCTTTGTAGCGTTCAGGAAGTTGCTGTTTAATTGGGAAATTAAATAGGCAACTATTACATAGAACCTCACTACAGTTAAGAATCATAATTTATACGAATACAGCATATTGTAGTTACTGAACTACTTACTGAAAGAGAAGCATAGTACTTAAGTGCAGTCTGGAACATCGAAAGATAACCTTTTAAGCGTGGAAAGGTTGGTCAGCTGGGTAATATGTTTGGCTAGAACTAGAGAGCACTGCCTCCCTTTGTTTATAGCGTGGGATGGTATCTAATTAGCTCACCCAGTAGAGCACTGTCATCCTTCCTGTACAGGAGGCAGTTTTGTTTCCAACTCTGAGCCCTGTTGAATACAGGAAATGTGCCCTGCCGCCTCATATAGTCCCAAGGCGACTGGAGGGGACGGAAGCCAAAGCTTCCCATGCAGGAGAGTGCGTATTGGAGATGGTACAATGTGGATTCTGCGCCTGGATTTTGGGAAGTTTCAGGTGTTGAGAATGCTATTTCTCCATGAAGTTCAGAGTAAGATTGCATATAATAATAACATATTCATCACTGACCCTGACCCTTTTTTATAAACTATGTTTGGGAGCACCACTGCTGTGACACGTAGCAGATTTTATCCGATTGCTGTGGGAGGCAACGGTATAAACATTCGCTGATGGTTCCAGCTCCAGGAATCCAAAGAGAGAAGGCAGAGAAAGGGTAAGAAAGTAAACAAAGTTTCAGGCATGCTTCTGGAAAATCCAGCCTTCTTTAGGGTTTCTCAGTTTCGATCTCCGTGATCGGTAGTTACCTCTGCAAACCCTGGCTGTGCTTGGTAGAACTCCAGTTGGCATTTTTTATGCATCTCTAGAATTCAGTTCAGTAAAAAAGTGGCCTCCATCTGGACATGTCAGTGAAATTTACAGTTTTCTTTTCGGTTTTTCACTGCAGCAAAGAAATTAACCTAACTAGATTGAAGCCCATTCTGGCAGCAGCTTTGCCTTGTACCATGGTGCCTGGTAGGTAGTATTAAAAATGAGTTGCTGGTTTAATATATATGAGTTTTTTTGACCCCAAGCAAAACAGAGGCAGACTTTTCACCTCTGCTCTAGATACAGAGAAGGAGATGTAAAAGTCAGAGGAAGTTGAGAGACGGAAGTTTTATTTTTTCAGAAGCCAAAGTGAAGGACAGTGCAGAAATTTATCATCTTCTCATCTGTTCTTTGTATGTGAGTGAGATTCTCCAGTCTCTTTAGACTCCAAGGTTTTTGTTTTTTTAGGGAGGATGGAAAAGGTCTAGAAATCTTTTTTTCTTTAGAGTGGCCAAGAGCGTCAATATGCTGAATACAACTGAGAAGCTGTAACATTTGTGAAACTTAGCATCTCCCAAGTTCATAAACATAAATTGCTATTACACTTCAGGGCATCAGTCTAGTCTCTTCTACCATCTAGTCTGTCCATAGAACATGTTGGCAGACTTTTTTAATGGATTCATGCGATGTACAAAGTTTTAAATTAGTAGTCTGGATGTCTGTTAACCTCAAACATCAATTTTAAATGCTTGAAGTGTTTCATCTCATATAGTATAAATACTGACCCTTAAGGAGGGATGGAATTTACCAGATGAGGAACTGTCCTAATGGTATCCTATTGGAAAACTGATTGTTAGATCAAGGCTTCAGGACTTTTGAATCTAATTTAACTATTCACAGATAAGTATGTGTTCCACAGTACTAACCAATCAATACAATTTCAGAAACACCTTCACTACTAACTATAATTGAACCCAGTCTTGCTACTTAGTCTGCACACCTTTTTTTTTTCTTTTTTTTTTTCTTTAAAGCTTTTCTAAACTCTCCTAGAACAACACTTCTTCAGGGTTCTTCTGTTGTTTTTGTTTGGCTGGTTTCTGGTTTTCTTTGCTTTTGGCATGTAAAGAATCCTTGACAGGTCAGTAAAAGTCTTATTTTTTCCCCACTGCTAGAATGATCTAAAGTACTCATTATGTTCTGGATTGGTTTGCTTGCTTTATTTTCTTTTAATAAAAAATACAAATAAGACAGGTTTCTTTTTTTAGAACCCATCTATCCCTGTTGCTTGTTGTTGCTTTGTAACATAATTTCTGTTATAGCTCATCATAATGTCAGATGGTACCAAAATTGTGGTAGTAGATTTGGGATAAATAAGAGAAACAGTAAAACGTTCAAAATAAAAGGAGCTTGTTGAAGGTGAATTTTGGCATCTTTTTGCTTGCTTGTTTGTATTAATGTTTGGATATGCATGCAGAAGAGAAAGTACAAAATTGTTGTGAGATAACTTATTTTCACACTGAAATCTGTCTTTGAAACATGTCTTTGTATTTCTAGATGCTTTTTGTTTGAAATAAAACTTGACTAATCACCATGGTTGCTTATGTTTTAATTTTTTTTTTTTGGAGTTGTGTTTTCAGTTGAGTTGATGTGATGATGCAGTGCACCTGCCTGTTAAGTGCTTTTGGTGAGTGGCCCTTGTTCAGTGTTGACAGTTCCTTAAGTGGAGAGGTCATAAAGTTCCTTTGACATAGAAATAGAAGAAATGAAAAGCAGAGGAATTAATAGCCTTAATAGATTTCCTTGCAGACTCTCCTTTGGATATATAAGTAACTTGATCATTAAAAAAAAAAACTGCAGCAGGATTTCATGTAGAACATGGCTATAAAAATTTGCCCCTCTCCCCCCCTCCCCCCCCTTTTTTTCTTCGTTACAGATAGCTCTGCATGCCTGCGGTGTGGCAACAGACATGGTGATTGAACACTGCATCAAGGCTCAGGCAGCCTTTGTCATCTGCCCATGTTGTTACGGTTTCATTCAAAACACAGTGAAGTTTACATATCCGCAAAGGTAAACTAAGGCCAGCAAAATAAACTTTAAAATGGCAATATAAAAAAAGAAAGAAAATACTAAAAAGATTACAAGTGGACAATTGAAGATAATTGCAAGCGTCCAGGTGAAATAAGTTCACATTTAATACAACTATCTCCTCCTGTTTCTCTTTGCAAATGTATCCTGGAAAGGGAGACGCATTATTAATTCCTGGATTATTTTTTCTGGATGTATCTATTCACAGCAGTTCACAAAGACTTTATAGCATCAATGCAGTAGATATGGTACTTGAGAATATGTGTAATATGCAGATCTCTTACCTCGAAGTCACAGTGTTAATAGAACACTCATGAAAAGTACTGTAAGAAGGGGAGTTGACGGTTTAACGTCAGAGAAAAATGTAAGCGATCAGCTTAAAGAAATGGGTCTGCTTTATACCATGGTTTACTGCTTGTGAAGCTCTTCTGATTTATTCCCAAGTAGACAAGCTCACCTGTATTTCAGTTTGTATTTTTAATACTTCTTCAGCAGACTGAGTAGATATTTTGTCTTCTCCAAATCTGCCACGTTGCAGATGCTTGTATTTCTTAGGCTTAAGAATTGTAATGGCTCCGATACAAATATAGTGTAAAAGGTAGGCATAAAGTGGCAGAAGATAACAGCCTTCCAAGGCAGAGTTAGATGTGGAAGAGGGTTATTTTTCTAAAGCTGAGCTTTGCGTTTTGGATGTCCAAGATGAATCAGATTTAATTCTAGTAGGAATTACAACATTGTCTTAGGTATATACTTGCTAAAGAAGTGGAAACCTTCTGCCTTAAAAGGAATCAACAAATTAAAAAAACTTTTGCTTCTGTATTAAATATTTTTCATGTTGTTCTGTAACATCCAAGTGTGCTGTTGTAAAAGTCCTTGGGGAGTAAATATTTATATTTTTCAGTTGGATAAACTTTGCATTTAATTGTGCTTTCTTAGTCAATTGGATTCTTTCATCTGTTTATAAATGTCCCTTTTGTTTGTTTTCGCTCTAACACAATAAAATAAATATTCTTAAGGAAGAGGCAAAAAAATTTAAGCCTTCTAAAGTTAGCAGACACAACTTTTCTCCACTGACTTGTTTTAAGGTTGATTAAATGCTGTTTAATTTTTGACCAGTCACATCTTTAGGTAATGAAGACTGCCCTTCCTGTTATGAATTTTTTGTTGCTGTAGATCCTGCAAGAATGTAAATTGTTGTGGTTTTGTGTTTGCTAACATTTTGAATCTAAAGCCTTAGCTCTTGTAGGAAATACGTGGTTCATAGCATATCAACCCAGGCTTGAGTTACAGTTTAGGGGTTTTTTTTCTTTCTTTCTAAGTTTATAGGATTAGAAAACATGATAGCCTGCCCCATGCACATATTGCATACTCAGTTCCATCCTAGATGCAGCTTGCTTTTGTGATAAGACACACACGAGATATATGCATGTTTAGAGGTTCTATACATGTAAAAAGAAATATTTATGTGAAAATGTGGGGAAAAAAGTACATTTCTGTAGCATTTATAATAGTTTAAAGACACAGTTTCCATGAAGAATGCAATAGAAAAAATGACACCTAATGTGCTTTTTCTGTTCTAGTAGACTGGAACTGCTGTGTTTTTTTTGAATACCTTTCTGTAGGTTGCAGATATTACTGTTTTGCTTAGAATGTGGTCAAATATGTACGGAATGCTTCTATTTTCCATCTCTGTTCTTTTAATGTTGATTGAATTGGTCTTTTTTTTTTTCCAGCCATCAATTCAAAGAAATTTTATCGTACAAGGTATGCAAAAGATACTGCTGTGGGTTGGGGGGGTGCCCTTTCCTGCCTTTCACTGGCTCTTCTTATCAAATTAAATATCAGTGTTTATCTTCAGTTGCAAGACGGAGCATGTGTTACATGTGATAATGATTAGCAGCGCAGATGTCCTTGTGTTTCTCTCCGCTATTCTTTTTGTAAGGCTTTTTTCTTCAATAAAATAAAATGATTTCTCCACAAAAGAACTTGTTTTATCGTAAGTATGAATGAGCTACTGCTAAGATATTATTAAGATAGAAGTGTTATCTCAACAAGTATAAGTTAACAATTTCAGGATACCAATCATTTTATTTATTGAGCTGTTAAATACTGATGCTATACTATGTAAACGTACAATAATTTTTTTATGTGGAATTACTGGTTCTAGGGAACTTATTTTCTGATAAGCACCAGATTTCTCCCTCTCATTTATGGCTAGAAGATTGGTCATTAAGGGTAGGAAGAGATAATACTCTTCAGCAAAAATGTTATACAGTATAGTTTTTAAAACTTCATTCAAAAGGATTAAAAAAAATTCAAATATATTTGATCTAGCACAGGATTAAACTAACACATAGTTATCCTGTAATCAACTGTTGTTAGCAGCTTTTGTTCAATAGTTAGTTCACACAGAGACAGAAAGATTTTGTTGTCTTAAAATTGTTTTTGTGTATTTTTTGGGCTAGTTGTCATGTCTTCTCTAAGGGTCTTTGTGGTTTTGTATTTAGAGATTTGAACGAGAAATGCCATCGTGTGTGTTTTTATTCTCTTCAGTTCTTCACCGTAATTTTAATTCACATGATAGAGCACAAAACTTAAAGCCAAAAACTGAGCTGATAATTGGGAGACCCGTGTTTCTCAAGCATGTATGCTTGTTGATGGAAAGAAACTATAGGTGGGGTTCATGAGTTGAGAAGTCGGGGAGCAGGGGTCTAGATGGAGATAGTCCAAGAGAGAAGTGGGATAAAGAAGCAATGAAGCATGCAGAACTGGCAGAAGGAAGATAACAGATGGAGAGAGAAAAAGGATAGCAGAGAAGCGGACAGGAGACAACTGATACAGATCCCTAAAGCTGTGTCTAGCATGTATAGACCTAGTTAGTGGTGAGCAACCAGTTCAGAGATTTGAAAGTTAGATACAGTTAATGTGGCAAGGGAAGAAAATGTTTGCGTTAGAGGGAAGCAAGGTGATAAGAACTTTACTAAGAGCTGATAAAATCCTAGACGAGGGTCTCAGTGGTTTGAATGTCAAAAAGCCTAAGAATTCTTGAGGTATGATGCAGAATAATCCTGTATTACAGAAGTGTGCAGGAAAGACAGTATTTGTAATCTCCAAATGGTTTTTGGAACAGTGAGTGTAGCAAAGGTGCTGTATGTAGCAGAAAAATGCGGATTGTCCCTTTTGAACATGAAGTAACAGGGCGTTTTTAAAAAAAATTCAGAACATTTCTAGCCACTTTATATGGGAAAGTTCAGTCATTTGATAGTGTACTAATCTTATCTTCATGACAATCTGGTTTATGTACACTTTATTAATTTACATGGAAATAGATTTGCATAGATTGAGATGTTAAAAGTGGCGCAGTGGATTTGGACCTGCCTTTAGTTTTTCTGTTAATAGACATTCCTTTCAGCATGGCTATTTCTGACACGTAATCAAGAAGTAGTCAGGTTTTAGTTCAGAAATTTATTTACTACTGTACTATTAAACATAGACTTGTTGACGGTACAGGAGGACAAGGTAACACGTACAAAATCAAGGAAACCTAGGTTAGGATGGTGTGTGTAATCTTATTAAAAGTCAGTGAAGTTTTTTTTTTTCTTTAAATCTGTTAATCCATGGAGGTTTAAATCACAGGGCTTATCACCACAATAGAAATCCCAGCATCTTTTTATTTGTGTTGCAGAAGTGCCCAGGAGGCCAATAACTATGCTGAAAATACTGCTTCTCTTAATAAAGTAAGAGACCATACAAATGCATCCTAGGCTGGATGGTACCTCAGATAATCCTAGATATAAATAACTTTTGTTATACTACTAGCTACATGCATTTCTTATATTTCATCTTAATAAATTGTTAAAGTTCATTGGCTAGTAGCCAAAGCTACTATGTGTGAACCAGACATTGTCTTTCCCCTCCCCCAGGCACCCCCAGGTTCCCATTTTAAATTCATTTATCTTATCTTCCATTTTAGTGAGATCTAAAAAGACATCTAGAAGTCTGGCAATTCCAAAACTTTTTTTGATGAGAACATTATGCCGTAATTCATTAGTTTATCGCTGCAAAGAATAAGGTTATGGTAGCTGTAGATTTTTATTGTGATACACTTGGAGACTCTGTTTGCTTTGCTCCCTGTAGGGGAATTGGAAAGTAGAAATCAATTACTTTGGAAATATAGTTTTGAAAACTTGATAGAATTTGAAGGTGTTCAAGAAAGCAAGTTAACTGCCCGCACACAGCTTGGAAAGCTTATGAATATAACCTTCACTGCTTCAGAAATGTTATTCTCCTCATTTCTGCCAACAGGGAACGTGACAATTTACTGATTGTGTCATGAGAAAATGATGTAGTCATAACTCAGACTTTACTTCAACTTTTCAGATTGCGTCTGTAGAAAGCCAAGGCATTTTGGTGCATTGTCAGTCCAAAGTCAGTCCAGATTTTCAGGCTGAGTGGTGAGGCTTACCTTGGCTCTAGTCTAGTCTAATGAGCCAAGAGCTTGGTGTTGCAAAGAGCTGGATTGGCTAGGTACCTACAGGCCGATGGAGAGTTCTGTGCTAACTTGTCTCTTCTCCCTCCCTAAAACCAATCTGTCCCAGCCCGTTTTTCTCTCCAACCTGCCTGTCACTGCTCCTTCTCTCCGAACAGCAGCCGTGTTGCCTCTCGCTCTCACTCTCCTCCAGTAGTCACTCTGGGTTTAATGTTTTCAGGCTCGTTTGTATTACACAAATAACTGTATTTAAATTACACTGAGCAAAACATACGCTGAGTCCTAAACGTGTTATAGCATGTTCTTGTCTCGCTTGCATGTGTTATGAAGCTGTGAGCCAAAAACTCTTGTGTAAATCAGCTGTATTAGAGAACAAAGATCCCTGTTGCAAGATACTGGATATTCATTTAAGTCAATAATCTCTGAGTTTCAAGTAGGAAGAATATTTTATTTTAATTCAAAAAGGTACAGTATGCGAGCAAACATTTTGCAGTTGCGTGTCTAGAAAATTTATGGATTGGATGAAGCGCACTGTGGAAGGTGTTGCCGTCTTGATTTAATATGAAGATGGTATTTCTTTCAGTTGCTTTTGTGAAAGGTAGACGTTTGGATGTTTATGACTCCCTAGAAAAAAGTTGGAAGTAAAGTGTCTTTAGCTGAAGTTGCTGTCTCTTCATTTGTTACAGGAACCACACTTTTAAAAACATCATTGTATATTAGACAAGAATCAAAGAACGTTTTTCTTTTGATTTGAGAGAGACAAACTAGCTCTGGAAGCTTTCTACATTGCATAGCAGAGATTTTTTTGTTGGTGCCTCTTTCTCTTTTCTCCTTATGGGAGACTTGGGAAGGTTGTATAGTTCTCAAAGGGTTCTGATTAATCCAGCTTCATACTTAATGTTGCAGCTGTCCCAAGTAGCACAGTTGTCATTACAGCATCACTTCCATTGTTATGTCTTCAAAGGTTTTTCTCTCACCATCTGGTTAACTCACCTTCTTTAGCTTGGCTTATCGTTGAGAAATCATTTAGGTAGCATAGGCAGTGTTTTTTTGAAGGCAAGTGAGGAAGGTGTTCTGGGCTGCTTCTGCAGTGTTGGAGGCAGGGAGCAAGGGGGGTGCCAAACCTCCGCTGCACCATGCCTCTGGGCAGCAACACAGCAAGAGATCAACAGTAGGTGTCTTGGAAACTTTGCAGAAGCTTTAAGTAGTAGAGGGATAATTTGAAAGTGAATTATGTTCATTTTGAGGTAGGAAACTTTCCCATCCACAGCCAGATATTTTTTGCCTCACCTTTCAGGTTGATCCTGAATTGATTTGGCAGAGCGGAGGAAGTTTGTTTCGACAAGGTGGTTCTTCCGGGATTCTGAATAACTGCTTAGGAGAAACATCCAGTTTTTCAAATTGCCTATTTAAGAATTCTATCTTGGCCACTCATTGATGCAGAGATACTGCCCGGTGAAGACTGTGCTAAAAGAAGGCCATGTTGCTCATCAGTAGTTGAAGGAAAAGTAGTCTGCAGTATGCCTCTGAAGAATGCCAGCTTTTATAGTTTGCATCCAGCTCCACTGCTGTGAGGAATTGGAGGAATTTGAGCCAGGAACAAATACTGTGATTAGAAATGTGGGATTGATTATGAACACTTGATTTATGCACATTTTCACAAGCAAAAGCAGCATGCAGATGAGGATTTGCACAGATAATTTTTCTAGAAATGTTATCTTCAACTGATAGCATATTTTTGTACTTCAAGTGTTTAATCAGATTTTTCTCATGCTATTTGGAAGAGTGAAATGATACCAGATATCTTTACTTTTTTTTCTAGGAGCACATGATTCTTTGCAGATTTGCAGATCAGACAGCTGTTCAGCTTCCACTTGAACGCAGGCTAATAGGTATGAATTTCTACGGAGCAGCTGTTGCGTAGACTACGTACTAATGTGCTTGCCTTCTTTTATAAAGGAAGAAATAGTAACATTTATCAAGAGGGCATTAAGTTGCTGTCTTCTCATTAGACTTAGCAAAATTTGAGTCTTTTCAGGTTTTTTCCCCTCGCTCTTCCCCACTATGGTAGTTGAAACTGTTTTCTGCCTTCAGATTTTTCAATATGAGCTAGAGGCTGTAATGTTGCGTTTTACTGATTTTTTACTGCCTCTGCACCTGTTGTTTCTCCCAGCATTCCCTGAAAAGAGTGATGATTTTATAAAGTTCAGTAGAGCCCTTCTGTTGCTGGTTCTATCTCGCGCTAAAAGCACACATTAATCCTGTAGTGGTTTTCAGTACGCTCCCTTTAGCATGCTTGTAGTCACTGGTGATGGCTCACTTAGGACAAACATCTAGTGCGGGGTGGAAACAATCAGGCTAAATAGCAGAGGTGGGGCTAGCTTCAGTATCGACCGGGCTTAAGAGCACACAAACCTATAGAGCTGCCTCATTATTTGGAGCACAATTTAAAAAATCCTAGAAGGTTTTATGTTTCTTTTGTTGGTTTTTTTTTAACAGTGAAGAATAACTATGATCTGAGGAGTTTGCTCAGAAGAAAGTTTGGCTTACTTCTTACCTAGTGTACCAGGGTTCCCTTAGGAAAAGTCTAGCTATGTCATAGCTAAAAAAGTGCATGATTCAGTTTTTACCTTTAGTAGTCAGTTCTGTTTCAGGTGTGTACGTTGTTACGGTTTTGGGTAAGAACAGCTGCCTTCTGTTAGGTCACTTCCATGCAATTAATGGCCAAGGCATGTTCATCCCTCGGATTTCATTTTCTGAATCAAGTGTCAACAATTTTTGAGAAAAATAATATGCAGGAAAACATCATAAATGTAGAGAGAATTTAATTCCTCGGGAGGACAGCAAAATGCCAACACTTCAAATATTTTTAATCGTCATAAAAATATTTTGTAAGTAACTTCACATCTTATTGTGAAGTACTCAATATTTTTGCAATGTTTTTTAAATTCTGAAGACACAGAAATCAATGAAAACATAAGAACAGGAAATTTGGAATATGCAAAACAAAGCAATTTTTTCATTATGTGCAAGAATCTAGTATTCTTTGATTTATTAAATGGCAGAATATGCTCCTATATGGTATCAATGTTCTAGGGGAAGCTATAAACTAGCTTCCGGGTCAGAAAAGAGAGAAGGGACTGGGAATTCTCAGGATATAACTGTGCGTTCTTGGCTTGCAAAAAACACGTATAAAGTATATCTGACAAATCATTTCTATATTTCACAACATACAAAACAATTGTAATGAATGTGTAAAGACAAATGACCTCATCATCTTGGCCTAGCTCTATCAAATTTTAAGCAGAAAAAATGTAGACTTTTTCCTTCCCATTATTTCTTCAGGTAAATCTGAGATCAGATTAGTTTTCATTTTATAAGAAAGACTACATAGTTTTGCATTTCTGTTTATAAGTGGTTAAATTCATGTTTCACTGATAAATTACACTGGATCACTGTTGTTTGGTATTTTAGTCTTTTATTGATAATCAGTATCCAAAGATTTTCAGGTTTTAGACAAAACTACAACAGAAAGATAGCTACGATTAAAACTTTGGCAATTCTGAGACCTAAGGTGTAAACTAGGGTTTTTCTTCCTGTGGCTTTTACATTAATGCATATAATTTTTTCGGGCAGTTTTGGAGTATACCTTAAAATATATTTGCCTCTTATGTTTCTGCTTTTGTAAAGAGTTCAAGCTCTTTGCTAAGCAAGTATTACAAGTCAAGCAGGTGCAACTTTCATATTAATGATCGTCTATTTGAAGCAGAACAGATTAAGGTAGATTTTTAAGTAGATTTGGAACTTCAGTTATTTTTTATATTACTTACTGATATATTTTCCTGGCATTGAATATTGAAGTGCACATTTCTGATATGTGTTTATATGTTTTTAGACTTTCTGTGCTCTCCTTTTGCTCTCGTTTTAGGAAAGCAGTGTATGGGACTTGTGGATCTGGATCGGGCATGGGCTGCAGAAGGACGAAACTACTCTGTCCAAGTGATATCTATGGAGCCAGAGAGTTGTTCTCCAAAGAACAATATGCTTGTGGGCACCCCTACTTAGAATGTGAAACTTGCATTTAATTTGAACATAAATCCTCAGTGCATAATGACATCCAGCAGATACCAGCAGGGCTGGGAGCCAGACATCACACATCTTGAACTCGTGCTTGGAAAAAGGAAGCGGCAGGAAAAGTCTTAGAAAGTGCGCTGCCTGCAGAGCATCACAAATCGTACTTGTAACGTGTCATTAAGCAGCTTTTGGTTCTCTTACTGGAAAGTTTCTCGATTTGACACCTGTCCATGGAATCATATCCACCAGCAAAAGTTTGGAAGAGAAGTGGTCTCATTGAAGGGAAAGCGATTTCCTTTTCAGTAGAGCTGTCTTGGCTGCTTCAAAATTGCATTCATGTTCAAAAAAGCATTTGTGCCCATAGGCAGACGATTTATGTGCCAATAATGCAGATCAATAGAGGAACGGAAAAGATCAAATTTATAGTGTTACTGAGGGCAGGCCATGCAACAGGTGGTGGCTTGACTTTGCTAAAGAATTCCATGCTACTGTAGCAAGATGGTTTTTAATAAAGTTTGCAGAAATACTTCTGGCATTGTTCTGCTTATAGAAGAACGTATTCTAATTTATCAGTCCTTTAAACATTCTTTTAATTACTTTTAAATATAACACAGGAATTCTTTGACCAGGCATTTGAACGTGTGTGTAGTTAAAGAAAGCAAAAACCTATTTAGCCATTGACCAGACATCGGGAAATGGTGATGATATCAGCGAACTGCTACTTCATGGCCACCTCTGCTAGTTGAAGTGTACTGCTTCCCATTCTGAAGAGACTGACAAAAGCGCAAGTCATGTGTCTGTATACATCATTTTCATTTATTTTCACATTAGGTTTAAAATTTGAAAAAACTTGCAGTTGCGGAACTAAGTGAAAAGATCGACCACCGATGTGTTACTGTAAAATTAAAACATATGTTCTGTGCTCTGATTAGAGGATAATTTTCTACTCTAATTTCAAATCATTTGTTGACACTATCACAATGGAGAATGAATTTTTTTTCCTGCATGTTTGTGGGTTCAGTACATTTATGAATTCTGCTTTGGATTAGTTTAAATATATTCAGAATCTCATCAGTATAAACATATCTTCAATGAATGTTGCAAACAGACAAAGGACAGCAAAGCATGTTGGAGAGAAAAAGGACCCTGAAATATTTTATTCCTTATAAAAGTTGTATCTCCGAAAGATCTAAATATTTGGGTCTTTTTATGTGACGTCTGAAGGAAGCTGCACACTATTTTATTTGGAAGCACAAAGGTTTGCAAGTAGGTATTATTTCAGACCTTTAGCATGCGTTCTTGAGTAGATAATGTAGTAGTACTTTTTCTGAAACTTTTTATAAACACAGAAGGAGCTGGAGGTTGGAAGGATGTGTATCGAATATAAAATATGTGGCAGCACCAATTGCTTCCAGGCTTTTCTCTAGTACTTACTCAAAGAGAACTTAATTCTGTGTCTCAGGTCTGAACATTATTCCAGTTAAATTAATTTATTTAGGACTCCAGATACATCTGGAGGAGAAAATGTCTGTTCACTACCTTATTGTGCTGAACTCATCAAGGTAATGTATCTGATGCAAACTTCATTGTTGTTTGTGGTAAGGATTTTCACAGGGCTCTGCTCCAAGCAACAGATACTAACATGTTGGTTTTAAATATGGTGCTGTTAAATATTTTACATGTTATAATACTGTACAATAATAATTAGCTTTCAGTAGACCAAAAATTTGTGCTGTTAGGTACTTCCAAATTTCTACGATATCTGACTAGCCTATAGTTTTTGAATCTGCTAGAAAACAGAGAAGGGGGAAATGCATTTGACATGTGCCCTGGGGAGCATGGGTGTCACTGAATAAAAGATAAAACTGGAGTTTTTGAACGGGAAGAAACAGTCTGTCTTGGACACAGAGGTGGAACCTCATTTGGACAAGTGTCCAAGAGGTTATTAGATACTTGGCACAGTCAGGAAAAATTGCTAAAACCCTACAAGAATCCAAACACCAATTTCTGGTTTGGGGAGTTTTTTTGATCATTTTTAAAGTACTTGTTTTCATGTTAATGAGACAGTTTCCCATAGGTGTGCCTATTCGTGACTTAAATTATTTTATTTTCTAAATGCAGACAGGAAACATCCCACAGATGCAGCAAAAATCTGCTGTCCAGCGTAGCACTAGGCTTCACAGGAAGAAAAAGATTTAAAGAAGCAGTGGAGAGAAAGAGCAAGTGTAGTGCAGTGTTTATATGCATCGTGGCATTCAGTTTTCTTGGATGCTCCAAGCTATGGACGTAAGTTTTGTGACAGGTTACTTCAGAGGTCGTGGTTCATGTCTGATGACGTTGTTGTACCCATCACCCTGAAACCCAGGCTAGTGAGACTGCATCCCATTTGTAACGCTATTTTTTGACTTGGGTACTACTCGTTTCAGTGGGCTCTTGTTTCTTTTCCTCTCGGGACAATAGAGCCTTTCTCATGGCTATGGGTGGAGTTACCTTACTATGAATAGTAAAATCTGACCTATGCTTGGAGGTGAACTGTTGTTTTCTTTATTGAAAACTGAAGAGAAACATGAAAAAAGCATAAGCAGCATATTTTTAATCAGCTAACCATGGTTGATATGTTGCAGATGAAATTGCCATTCTATGCCATGTACTTTGCTCTAGAACTGTGAGTGTAATTATATTAATGTTTAGGTATGTTATTTTGTTAATGCATAAATGGTACGGAATGAATAGGGCTGAGAATTTTGTAAACAAGGTGACTGGACATCGTGATCCTGAAAAGTGAGCAACAGTAGTTTTGCTTCCAGCAGCTTGTTATGCAAGGAATTGGCTTGATGTACAAGAGGCAGGCCTAAATGCTATTGATGTTTCTCAAGTGTCTGATCCCACTGGGACTATCTGGGTGAGTAGGGCAAACAAAACATTGTCCTAACATAATCATATTTTTCCACTATCCTGCCAGTGTGACTAAATGTTACCCTTGTAGCCAGTAAAGCTGGAAAAAAAAATTCTTAACAAGGAACAGATGACCAAACTGAACTGAGTTCCTCCGTATGTTAAAGATAGTCATCTGTGGGTACGTGTATCTCTATTCTGACTTGTTTCTTTTTATCTTTATCACGTTAATTATCTGTTTCTTCAGTCCTCTTTCAAGAGCTGTTAGTAGTGCCATATTTAGGCATAGCCAGTAATAAACAAAGGGTGTTCCTGAGCGTGAACGTTGTGCCCCCTACGTTTTCTTTGTGGCTTAATCTTAACAAAAACCTGGAGGCAGTGTAAATATTATTCTGTTAAACCAGTGAATCTAGTTATGAAAGTTATACACGTTGTCAAAATCCTCCATTGATTGTTCATAGAAAGTCATATGTAAAATGATTCATTTGAAGGGCTGCAGTAAATTATAAATGGTGCTTTCCGTTGCTAATTAGTGCTCGACTTTTTAGTTAACTGGTAGATCTCTCATTTCTAAAGGCAATTTTAATAAGCAGAAATGTCTTTTTATTTGCTACCTTCCTAGGTGACATGCCATTATAATGCAGTGCTGTGTCTTGTAAAAAGAAGTAGGTATTGTCTAGGGTGTCAAGTGTGTACATAAGTAAATTTATGGGCTTTAAGTGGTCTGCGTTGAAATGGCTGACAGCTGATTTTATAATGGGTTTATATGGGTATTAACTTGGCTAGGCACTATCAGTGTCAGCTATTTTCAGTCAAGATTTTGCTTTACAATTAGTAATTTACCCCACCCCTGATTATCATTCTTAACTTTTTTTTAAAAAAAGATTGTTAAGCTAGAAGATCTTTGCTTAACAAAATGTAACTGAACAGCTGAAGTGATGATTTCAGAATTATCCTAGTGCTTAGTTGCTTAGTCGTCAGCAGAAAGAAGAGCAGAGTTCAAAATTTCCTTTAAACATATCAAAGCACTGCTTTCGTTTTTGTCTATATACCCTCAGACTCCTGATGTACAGTCTTGGTCTAAGTTCCTGCAGTTCCATTTTATTACTTCTTCTACTTTTTTAAAAAGGGAAAAACTAGATACTGTATGTGGACCTTTCTAAATATCTAGTTTGAAAAGAGTTACTTCCTTGCATCTTGACTAAAAGGAAGCACACCTCAGAACTTTCCATGCTCAGACTTCCACTTAAGCTATCTGGCTTTCATGGTTTCGGTTCAGTAGCTAGCCCTTAGCAAGTTTCAGCTTATTGCAACTGTCATTAAAAGGCACTAGATTTTCTAAATGAATAGTAGATTAAAGCTGTATGCAAGTGGTAAAGCTGAAACTAGGTTCATTTTCTCTTTGATTTTAGCTTTTATTTACCCAGAAATTTAATTAAATAAGTGTCCCATTCTGTACTGCTGTCCTCAAAATGAATTTGTTTAATGAGAATATCTGTATTTTGAAAATTCTGATGATCAGCCTCGTGTAAGGAAAAGTATTTAGGATAAGTTTATAATAAACTCATAAATAAATTTTTATAAACAAGGTAATAATAAATAAACCTTAATAAGTCTTTATTAATAAACTAATAAAGCTTTCACTCGGTTCATTTTTGAGTGAAAGTAGAATGGGGTTTTAACTTTGTATGTGTCAAGTGGTATACATCTTACCTTTTAACTCAAAATTATTTTAGACTTATGTGTTTAAATTTCTCACATTCTTTTTTCAGGGATGCTAGTGGAGATGCTCATTTTATGCAGAGTGAGTGATACTGTTTGAGGTTTTCTTGTTAACTGATTAGTAAGTTAAATAAACTGATTAAATAATCAGTGATTCTAGAGATGAAATTTTT